CACTGCCTTCGAGTATCTCCATTCGAGCAGTTCCAAGTAGTTGCTGCGAGACGATAGTAGTAAGCTGTCGAATGAAGCTGAGCAAAAATGCTTCCAATATTAACCAACAGGTATTTTGACTGTTCAGACTATAGCAAGAGAGAGCTCAGCAAGTCAGCGCATGTCATCAAGACCATTCAGACTTGAATATTCCTCTGTCTTATCTGGAGAGACTGTTGAAGTGACTACATCTATGAATATTTTGTTCCTGTCTTAAATCAGTCAGATTGTAAACAGAAAACTATTTTTCTCCCTTATTAGGAAAAACTAAACCCACTCTGATTAAGGATGCCTACATAAGTTAAGACCTTAAGCAAGACAGTTGAGACACTAGTAGCAATCACCATAACTTCACAAAACGCGCTGTGAAGTGTAAAGCCTCCCACCCATACAGAGCTGTATGCTGTTGCAGCTTGACCACAACTCATATCCTCATATAGGCTGCTTATTTACACGTGCAGGTGTAGCACTGGCTTCACATCAGCAAGTAAGGCATTTTTCTTCCTTAGAAGACATTGAGACACTTGGACACAATGGTAAGGTAGAACTACTCCTCTGCATTTGCAGGGAGCTATCATTTCCCTCTTCTCTGAGTAAGACACTGGATTATAGACACTCATTGCTCAAGAAGTCAGAGCAGGGAATTATGTATGGGTTAAACACAGGTATCCTAGATTCTGGAGTACTGCTCAACCCTGGCACTTGTCCATAAGGGAAAAGGTCCATAAAAGGAAAATGACTGTTAAGAGCCTAATGAAAGCTTTGTTCAGAGTGCCTTTCCTGTCTTTGGAAATGCAGATTTCAACTTCAGAAAATGCTCTGGGGAAAAAAAAAAAAAAAACTTCTCTAACTTCTCTCTTTTTGGCTACAAGAAAAAGTCAGAGAAGATCACTAAATTTGCAGCTGCTGAGCCTCTCCTTGAAAGTTACTCCTTGGAATAGGAGAGGTGTTTCACAGCAGCAATTACTGACCATAAAACAGAACAACGATTTAATATTGCATATACAAATTGCGTACATCCCTTACGCTTGGAGGCTGAAATATGGATAGACGTAACTTGTAACCAGCTACGCTGGCCAAGCTGGAAAGTTCTGCTGAATACTTGTTTCGCTTTATGATCAGCTACACATGATTAAAACTGCTCAGCCCAACCACTTGAGCTTTCCTCAGCTTGGCATCTAAGTTTCAATTGCAATTCTTTATAACTAATGAAAATGTACTGTAAAACTGTTTATTTTATAAATACATACAACATGGCGGAAGGAAATCTGAGGCTGGCTTTTCCATGACCACAATAAAACAGTAGGTATGGAAGAATAAGCCTTCAGACATGAGATGGTTCTTGTTTGAACTGCCTCTGCTATCTCCTTGTTTCTGTCCTGGAATATGCCCAGAGATCTGGCATGGCTGTTTATGCTACAGTTAGCCTTGCTAATTCAAACACGGCCTCCTGACTACAGAAACTAAAGCACAACAGCTGGTTGTCCTTTGTCTCATTCTTCAGCTTTGAGTGAGGTCCATACTTTTTTAAACTAGGCAATAAATTTGACCGCATTTAAATGCCTTTTTTTCCCTCCTTTCAGTAACAGCAGTAAAATTCCATGTGCTACACAGAAATAACCTGTAGAGTTGACACTGCAGCACCATCTTTAAGTATCCCTGAAAAATCTGAAGAGAAATAGAGCTTGAATTCTGCATCATAAATACACTTTGACTCCTCTGTCATGACTCTACTCTTTTTGAGGGGGTGTTGTACTGATATATAATTATCTTAGGCAGCTGGATGCAATAGCTAATAAATATTCTCTCTTCCCTAGGGAAGCCAGGTAGTTCAATCAACTGGATCATGCTCAGAAGTTCCTAAAGAGCGTGGAGAGGAACGTGTCCAGATCCATGAAAGATACAGACCTAAACTCTACTTCCTTGCAACAGGGGTGAGTCCTAGGAACTCCCAGTTTATGCAGTAACCAGCACTTGTCATATCCTTGTCATATCCAGAGCAGCAATACATACATACTCCAATGAATACAGCTACTCTGATGTTTGAAGTACAGGTGGTGAGAAAGAGGATGCCCTTCATCCAAAAAGTCTCCTTCCACCTTGTTATTATGGGAGTGAGAAGAAATCACTTTTAAGCTGGTTGAGACAGCAAAAATGAATACCTCTTTCTTCTTGGTTAGCTGGGATCTTATTTGGCTACATGCTGCTGAGAGTACTTAGGAAAGACTATGCAAACCGGAGTGGTCAAAACGCTTACGTGACAAAAATTCTAGGATTTCTTTCATTTGCTGTTGATATTACTTGACTACATACAACGCTCATTAAAATAATGACTTGTCAAGAGATGTTATCAGTATGTCTTCTACTGAGCCTACCAGAATACTAGAGCTATGCTGACGTCCAGGTTTTTTTTTATTTCTTTTTGTCTTTTATTTTTATCCCTGGAAGTACTTCCGGCCTTCCAAAGTCTCTCTGATGGATCTCCTTGATCTTGCTGGTTTCTGCATCCATAACAGTGCACACTCATAAATATTTTGTTATTCATTTAAAGTTGTAATAGCTCTGACTGACATATCTAAGTACAAAACAAAGAACTATATTAAAGACGACTTCCGGTTTCTTAGCTTCTCTTCCTTCCAAGGAGGATGAGACACCTGATTAGAAAACTGCATATTATCTCTCGTGATTCAAAAATTCTGCAGTAATAATCTCATGTTTAGAAATAACTTTGTAACATTGAGTAGAATACAAATAAGATGGTGTAACATCTTCCCTTCTGACCTACACCTGAAGGAAAATGCTCTCAATGTGACGATAACACACTTAGGCATCTTGGCACCACAGCTGCTTTAGGCAGCTTGGAATTAGCTTTGGCAAGGTTAAATATCCCACTTCAAATGGAATAATGGTCCTAACTGCAAGAAGAAAACTGAATTAGTCTGTCTACTAACAAATATTTCTGCAATAATTTATTGAACACAATCTTTTTGTCAACCCTCTCTTTCTTTGCATGGCTATTTGTCATCACTTCCTTGCAACAGTCTGAAAGGCTAGAACTAGTTGTAGCTTTTCTTTAACTCATGCCATAGTCACAATTTAAATCTTGCTTTGCTTGTGCAGTGAAATTGCTTGTAAATATTTAATTAAAAATGTGTTCAATCTCATACTGTCAACCTTACTTTGAAATCTGAGCATGCATAGTGTGGAAAATAATAAGAAACCCAGGCCAAGCCTTAAAAGCATTCTAAATCCCTGAAGTCACTATTTAGTCTAACTTCTCTTTCTCAAAGCTGGAGTGTCAATTGGCATCTTCTGTAGTATATGTTGCCTTCATACCCTTTTATTGCTCAGTTACCAATAACTAAAATAATCACAGAGCTGCTGCACTGCACAGTGTATGGATAGTGCCCTAACTTTAAAGTTTGCTCCTTCAAGTAAATCTAACCAGGGGAAGATCTTCAAACTGGTAAGACTTAAGACCTTTGACCTACAAGGAAATATAAGGGAAAAGGCCAGCACCAGAAGTACACTAGTGTCTTTCAGAGAGGAGAGGGGAAAAAAAGAAAAAACCAAAAACAAAGACAAACCCCAAAACAAACACACACACAACTTTGCAAGAGCAGTCTTAAATTCAGGCCCTTATACTGCTGTTCTCTTTTCAAAGATACTTTACCTGAAAAACATGAGTTTAAATAGTCAAGTGCTGCTAAGAGGTGTAACAGAAACAGAACGGTAGGAATAACACAACCTTTTCCTACCTGTAACTTAAAAACTTACTTGGTCTGAATTCTTGACATTGCAATCTGGAAACATAGATCAAGAAGTACATGAAATTGAAATCATCCCCTTGCCTCCCCAAAACAGTTCCTGTGTGAGCCAATTTTGGTGATTCATTCCAGACTCCCTGTATTTATGCCCAAGAGAAAAGTCTGACACCTAACAATTGTGGAATTTCCATGACTTCCCTAGATTGTCTATTCTAGTGCTTCACTAGTTGTACTGCTTTGCCAATTTCTGGCTGATGCCTAACCTGTATCCTCTGTGTCAGCTGAAGTCTGTTATTGCTTTTGTTTCCTCAGCATCAGCCCGTCCAGTGTTTACCAAGGGTATTGTATTCTACTTTAGAGAAAATTAAACATCTGTAAAGAAACCTATGACCTAAAACAGGATCACAGAACAATACAACTCTGATGGTTCTCTTCTTGCCCTCACCTGGACTCTCCACTTAAATCAACTTCTTTCTGCAACAGCGCTCACAACTGAAAAATGAGTCTTACCAGTGATGAGTAGAAAATGACTACTTCATGTGTTTTACAAGTTCTACCAGTTCCTGCAAATTCGGTTGTGATGGCTACATCGTTGTCAACAGCATAACACTGACTTATGCTCAGCCAGCGATCCATTATGGCTCTCCGCTTTCCTGCGGAGCTGCTCCCTAGCAGCTAGCTCGTCCCTGGCCTTTATTTGTGGAACTTCCTGCCCATGTATGGTACTTTGCAATTGTTCTTTACAAAAGAAAAAAAAATTAATAAAAGAGGAAGTTTAATTAAGCCTTCTGCACCTGAATTCCTCTTTTAAAAAAAAATGAAGAAAGCAGAAGACTGTTTAAATTCCATCCAGCCCCACTTTTATCATTTAAATTCCCACTTCTTGATTAAGCCCAACTTGGATCAAGAAGCAATGCCACTGAATAAGGAGTCCTGCCCACCCATTTCTTTGATGTTGACACTACTTTTTGTGCACCTTCATGATGAACCAGCACAAGGACCTAATGTCTGAAAACATACCTGGTCAAAAATAAAGGAAATAACTATACATCCAGTCTGATATGACCCAGATTATAATGAAACCAAAGTTTCTCAAGAGTTTATCACATCTGTAACTGACTTCAAATGCATGTCCCTTAAAGCATTAAGCTTTAAAGCTCTTACTACTTGGAAAAGCACACAGAAGAAAACAAATAAGGATACTCATCATTTAATAGAAAAACTGTATCGCCAACAGCACACCCATTTCTTAAAAAGTTATCAAACGCTGTGCTAAGAATTATTTCTGCAACTAAGAGTATAAAGCGAAGTAATTTAGATAAAGGCATTTTTACCAGTCATTTGAAGCTGTATACATCAAAGGAAGCAGCACCATAACTTAATGAGGAACAAATTCCATTCATAATTTAAACACCTAGGAGCTAGCCACTTCATACAGGAAAAAAAAAAAGTTAAGATCAGTACCATACTTATTCGTATACTTCAGAAAAACCTAAGTTATCTAAACACGTACACACCAGTTTGTTTCTTCATATTCATTGTTTCATAATGCTATTTTGCAGAGTTTTTTGTAACTTAGCTATGTTGGCATCCAAAGCTGCTAAGCCATTCTTAAAGTCCTCTTCATCTCGAGAAGTAAACGTTGAGAAAGAGGATGCACTCCATTCAGACTTCCCTGAAATGTCATCAAATGAAACAGAACTAACATCAGATATTTCACTGCCTTTTTTCTGAGAATTCTCTTTGTGAAAGAGCACTGGAACATGCGGGTATGTACTAAGTTGAGGTTGGTCTGGTTTGTCTGTAAAATCTTTTGGCCTCGTTTGGACTCTGTCTCCTTCCAGCTTCGCTGTATCCTCTGTAGCTTCAAGTGTGTTTTCTATGGTCTTTTTCAAACTGTATCCAGCACTTAATTTATCCAAAATAGCGGGGTCCTCTGACACCTCACATCCGTTCCGCTGCTCGGAGTTTGAGAGTTCATAGTTGAAGTCCAACATCTTACAAGCCCCTCTGATCTGGGGTTGCATACCAGTTCTCTCAGACACTGGCAGCTGATTTTTAGAGGCACTGCTAGTCAATGGAATATAAATAGTCTCATCCAGTTTGTTTTGGTCATCTAGTAAAGTCTCAGAATCACTAGCTGCTTCTCTGTCTTGCTTCTGTAAGGTTGGTACAATTTCTGGAGCCGTGGTTTCTTCTTCTGAGAATGTACTGTTTATTTTAGTTCCTTCAGCAGCAAACTTTCCATAGGCTAGATTTAGCATTTCTAATTCCCTGCTTTTGTTTGAGAACTGACGTTCTGCATCTGTCAAAATATGATCAGTGTCTAATTTTCTAAGATAAGTCATTACCGAAGTACTCACAGGAAATGGATCAGACTGCATCTGTTTCTCATGGTGTTCCAAAAGAGACTTCGAGAGACCTTTTTCAGGTTTGGCTCTGATATTGTCCACTGTGAGGTCAGACAGAAGCTTGGCCATACTGCCCTGCAAGGTTCTGTTAAGATCAATTCATCAGGTTAATTACTTTATTTAGCAATTGTTTTTTCAAAAACTTCAATATAAACCCAAAACATTAGATTTAATTAGATCACAGTGAAGTTATAATCCACATAAGTATGCACAATGGTGCAAAATACTAATATAAATGTGAATCAGTTCCAAGTTTCTTGAGTTTCAGTTTTCAACTCAGAGAAACATGCCTATAAAATAACTAAGAGAGCACAACACAGCAAAGTTCTTGAAATTATTCTGGATTTACCTGCTCTGAGTACTCCAAAACAAAATTAATTTGGCAGCAAGAAGCTGTTACAAAGCATATAGAAACAGCTTTCGAAAGATCAATGAGAAAACTTCTCCAAATTTTAATTCCCACTGCATCTAAGCAACATATTAAAAAGAAGAAATTTAATAAAATCATTTATATGTATTTTTTACTTTCTGTAGCAAAAAAAAGGAACATTTAATGCTTAGGTATACAGCATATACAAACATACACATAATAAGATATCATTATACCACCATCTGGTGGTCAGTATTTAACAGTCTCAGAAACGTGTAACGTGTATAAACTTCTACTAAAAAATATGAAGTGCTGATTACAAATATTGTCCCATTCAAATCAGTATTAACTATAAACAACTGAACAGGTAACCACTTAACTTCCTGTGCACAGTGAACAAACAAATTTTATGGACATACCACTTTGCATATCCAAAAGGCCCTGTAAGCCTTGCCACCAATACACACAAAAAACTATATAGAATAGTTCTCCAAAATGTGCAACATCACCTTAATTCAGTGATCCAAAGGCTCCCACCTACACCCATAAATTGTATCTAGGCATAATCTACTTCAAAGGTATGTGCAGTTAAGGACTGAACTGCTCATTCCTATAGGAAGAGCTCCCTGTGGATCCTGAAGGCAGACTGTTCTGCAAGCTCTTTTCATAGGGAGTGATTTCTAAGCTAATATAAGGAAAAAGTGAAATCCCTCCTTAATTAAGGTTAAGAGCTAGTCTCCAAACAATGCAGCTTCACGTATCAGTAGATTTCAAGGTCTGTTCACTTCTCTTGGAGCTCCTTATTGGCAGGTCTGCTGTGCAAGCTAAAACTTTGCATAAATTATGTCAGGTACCAAAAGGCTTCACAACAAAACTCTATTTGGAGCACTGGAGTTCTATTTTAACAAAATGAGAGTACTGTTGTAATAAAAATACAAAATACAAAGAGAGGCTTTGGCATACACGATGCTGGTGTAGTATGAAGATTACAGTAATCCAAATAAAAGAAAAGTGTTATCGAGAGGCAACAAAACTTAGCCAACAGTACCTCGTTAACTCACGCAGTCTGTTCACTTCTGCATCACGCTGACGTAATGTTATGCCCAAAATCTGATTTTCTTTCTCTGAAGCTTCCAGCTTAAACTGAAGGCTCTTCACATTTGCTAATGCCTCTTCTACTTCTAAAATGCCAAGCAGAATTTAGCTAATAATTTCTATTAGGGTTAAAAATATTGAATGAATAATAAACGCATTCAAAGCACATACCAATCCTGAGCTTGGTGGCATGAATGTCATATTGCTGTTTGTTTTCAAGCAATTCTTTATCTTTGTCTTGGATACTTTTTGCAACATGTTTATTTTCTTCTTTCTGACTTTCTATTATTTTAAGTAGTTCTTCATTTTTAGTCTGCAGTGACTCAAGACCTTTCAGTGATTCTTTCAATTGACTCTGGAGCATCATATTCAGTGACTGCAGAGAAACTACTACCAGGAGAAAAACATAGGAAGTCTAAGTGTTTTGTCTACAATGTTTGGATTTCTACATTGAACTAAGGTTTTTTTTTTTTTTTGAAACTTCATAATATGACTTTGGCTTACAGCTGGAAGGATTTTTTCTTTTTTCTTTTTTTTTTTCTTTTTTTTTTTTAAAAAGACAGGTAGATAAAACACAAGCTTCCTTCTTAGTTGTCTAGCATATCATTGTAAGAGGATATAGGCAAAACTGGTCTGCTCTGGAGCTGAACATCCGATTCTCAGTGTCTATATGGAGTTCTAAACAGGCACAACATCCATGCCTTTAGATGCAGTTGCACAATTAGACCCACATCACTTATTTCAGCTGCCACTAAAGGGCAGTGCCACTATGAATGCACATTATTACTTAATTAAACATTTAAGACAGATGTAGCTATATCTTTATATATCTGTATCTATTTAAACAAAACCTCAACACAAATTGCCCCTACAAGCATCATTCTCTGTTAATACTTTACATTCATAGTTGCAGTTCTGTCCAGATGTCTTCTCATTTCTCTCTCGTTCCCTGAGTTGCTGGTTTAATATTCTTAGCCTCCTAAACGTGAATTATGAAAAAGCCCATATTCAGAAAGCTCAGGATAAGTTCAAACCCACTAACATTTTGTTTTAGTTTGGAAGAAGTGGCTATTTATTTTAGAAACATAAAAATGTTTTAAAAATACAGAAATATATGGAAGTTTTAGAAATATAAATTAGAAGTGGGAAATATTTTAGGAATACAAAAATAGAAATATTTAGAAGTACTAAGGAGTTTTAATAATGCATTTTCCTGCATTCCTATCTTTCTTCAATACAACAGACCCTTTGCAAGTTCTGGTAGCTACATTGCCCTCTCCTCTGGAGTACAGTGCTATCCAGCTATATATTTGAGACCGCTCCTGAAATGAGCTCCATTTCTGTATTTAAGAATAGAGTATATACAGAATATAAGCAGACTAGCTATCTTAATACTGAGGTTTTCATCCAGAACATCCCACCTAGAAAAACACCCAATCATGGAAGATATGGCAGTTTGTTTTAAATAAACTCTCAAAACACTTTACAAGAATGCATTAAACTTTGAAGTACTTTTGTAAAATAGTAAGTATTACTGCCATCCTACAGAAGGATGCAACTAGACATACGCAAGTTTTGCAGCTGCCTTATAACTTGCTCCATCTCACTTGGTTATCCGTTTCTCAAGCAAAAGACCACTATTTGGCAAAAACTGATGTTACTAGAACTTCAGTATTAATTGAAATCTTGTTTCAGTGTTTGTACGTTAAGTTTTTTTTTAAACTATACAGCCATACCAACACCACTGGTAACATATAAACACTGCACAGACAAGAATGGAATGGACCTAAAATTTACATTATAACAATGCTAGAATATGCAATTTAGAACACTTCAGTAAAGATGTTTTAGGCATTTTTGGAGTAAATACAGAATCACTGAACAGTTACTAACCTACGCAACTGGGCATTTTCACTTCTAAGAGGCTGTATAGCTAGCGCTATTTCAGCTTGTATATTTGTACTTCCCACTACAGCTGGCAGCAGTGATACACAGTCTTCTATTTCAGTCATCAACCTTAACATCTCTGAATCATCTGCAAGAGATGAAGAAAAAAAAGAAAGAAAAAAAGACTGTAATAAGATAGCAATTTACAAAGTGATGTTAATAGTATTTATTCTTCTTTTAAACAAAACTTGTCTTTATTTTGACTGCCTATCTTTACTTATTCAAAACTTATAAGTTTGACCATGAAGACTATGTGTTAGGTGCTTGATAAATTATCACCGATCATCCCTCCAATCAAACTTGGTGGGATTGCTGTTGCAATCTGCCTAAACTGCTTCCTGATCAACTCTCAGGGGACGCCACTGCATATGAAACGAGAACAAGCTTTGTCCTAGCAGTTATGATCATTTAATACTTCACAGTGAAATATGAAGTTCTTAAAAACAAAGTTGTGGAAAACCACTCTAAGATGTCACATATCATCTGACACATACAACTTCCAGATATTGAAGAGTGCTCATTCCTTTAACATAGCTCATGTTATTTATATGCAATCAATCTACCGCACAGTGAAAATGTCTTTACCTTGGTCTACTACCAGTGCTCTGAGCTCTCCCAAAAGATATTTTACTGTTCTAACTTTATGGGCTGTTTTTTCTGGACTTTCTCTTTTAGATTTTAGAACTTTCTTGACAAAACTTGTCTGACAGCTTGTATCTCTCACTGGAGCAATGTCAAGTACATTCAGTTCCTCTACTTCACTGATCGCGTCTTCACTGTGTTCTTCAGAAGCATCCTCCTCCTTATTGCTTGAGACATTATGTTGTGCTGGACATCGATGATGCTTCTGTTCAGTCCTGCTGTTTGTTTCATGTGGTTGTAACAAGGCCAGGTGAGCTTGTATACATCTTATCAAATCTGCTTCTTTTATCCGCTGCTCTTGGTTTGGGGTGGTCTCTTTGCCAGAAGATGATGGGTTGAATGTAGGCACTGTAGAGTTACTTGACGCACCTGATACTATACAAGGCATCATACCAGAAAGAGCAGTGTCAGGCTGTATTTGTGCAGTAGTGGTAGCAGGAGCAGAAACTACTGGGCAAACCACAGTTCTTCCTATCTGGGGCACACATTCATTGCTACTGTCTGCAGAGACACCCTGGATAAACAATATTCATATTAAGCAAAAAATTAGCAAGGAATTGAAGTGCTAAAGAAACTTGTCTCATTCAATGTAGTCTTGATCATTCTTTGCAATATATTTAAAAAAAACACTCTAGAATTCTTTCTGGCTTAATTGCACGATTTTCCAATTTACTAATTCAGAGGTAAATCTGGTTTTGATCACCTTTACCATAAAAGTTATTGGCAACATTAAAACACAGTTCACATGCAGTTGTTCTGCAAGGAAAAAAAAGAGTTGCGGGTTTTTTGTTTGTTACTTACAGACTGAGTAGATAAAGGATTAGCTGAATGCTGCAGGGACAGAGTTGGTGTGGATGTAGACAGCCGATAATTAAGAGCTGTAACATTTTGACAACCTGAAATGAAAGAAAGTAATGTTGTCACAGATCAGGGGAATTCTGGGCTAAACCCACACAGTGAAAGACAGAAAGCTCTGAAGTAATATTTTCACTAGCCAAGATTTGAAGCAGAATAAGGAGTTACAGTAGGAATTTCATTACTGCTCTGCAGCGGTTGGCTAGTTACTAGAGCCATCTGAGTTTGCACATGCTCACAAAATTTTTGATGCATCACAGGAGAGTATTGACTGCAAGGCACATTAATTGGTTGAACCAGCTGATTCTGTGCTGCACTGGTAAGTTCTTTCCCAGTAGAAGGTGTGGTAGATGAGGCATGTTTCCTATTTGATATAGGCACTATAGAGAGAAGAAAAACAAAACAGCTGAGGCTGTCCATCTTCTTGATCTACATCAACCCAGAGTGTTATCAGGCAGACTCGGGCAGGAATATTCCTTTGAAAAACAATAAAAACAAAACGAAACAAGCCAAGCCCCCACCACCTAAGATTCCAATCAGACTTTTATCCAGCAGCAAACTAATCTAATTTTTTTCCCCTCCCGATACAGCAACCCACACAAGCTGGACAGACTTCCTTGAAGGAAGCACAGAGATTTAAACCCACGGAAGGCCAATTCTAAAATACAATTCTTAGCCTCTGCTTAGTTGCTCCCTAATCTTTTAGGCCATTGGGAATAACCCATGCTAAAGCACTCTCCAAACCTAAGTTTCTTATAATCAAAACTACCATATTTTTACAGAGCTAGAAGGACATTAGCTGTATGTCCACCTTCTGTAATTCCCACAACAGGCATTCTGCTATGTAGCTAGTCTACAAGTCCTGCCTGTAAGCATTTCCACATTATGCTTGCCATATTAGACATCACAGAAAGGAAGTGGGGTAGAGAGGGAGACAAACGCAAATAAAAAGTGGAATATTTTCAGCTGAGAGCCACTCCAGCTACAATACTTCATCTTGTTTTCTGTTCAAGTGCTCTAGCCACTAAATCTCATGAGTTCTTGTTACTATATATTTTAACACTTTCCTATTTCCAGAAAGTGTTATATGTGAGAAAAGCTTAACTGGACGCCTATCTCTAGGACAGTTTATAGCTGTGTATGCTAAAGAGATTAAGTACTGCGGTACTTAACTCCCCAGGAGAAATGGGGTGTGGTATTATCATTCTCCTACTGGCTGAACCTGATGATGTTGGTGTTTGAAAACGCATCCAATTTTCTTTGCTGCACGTAAAGCTCAAACAGCTGTAAATTCTAGTTAATTGTTAAAGTACTTCAGGTTTCCAGAGGGAAAAAGTTTCCTTTGTCGATCTAGCCCTGGACCCACCTATAACAAAAGACAACGATTATCTGAAACTATGCTAGATCTTCTCAATAAGTTAAGCACCATATACACCAGAATTTAAGTCCATCTGGATTCATTAATTTAAATTACAAAAAATGAACCCCCAGTCGTTTTTATTAGCTAAAAGTGAAAACAAGGTAAAATATATAACATTATGATGTGACCAACTGTGTGGGCAAGGTAGTAATCAATACACATTTAATCAAAAAATTACATAGTATAAATTAATACTGAGAAAAAAGCAAACACATGAAAACCTGCTTACTGATTTCTTTTCGCACGTGGGTAGCGGCAATGGTTTTTTTCAACCCTTTCTTCTTGCAGGTATTTCCTTTGGTTATCACAGACTTGGAAGTAATTTTAACAGAACTGGTTTTCCCAGGTTGTTTATGGATAGTCTCCCTGCCTAATATTATTTGAAACAAAAAGCCAGTCAACAAAACAAATTAAAATAGTCCTACAGGAACTAAAAATATAACTCAATTTTTTAGTAGGTACAACCTGTAGCCTCATTTTGTAAAATATTCTGCAGTAAAGCTGCACAACGGTCAAGTCCATTATGAATAGTATCAACCTGCACAAAGAATACTGCAGTCAGAAAATAGGTATCACTGTTTTCTTTCAGTAAACCAAGATATTATTTTAGAAGGGACTGTTTCTTACTCTGTAATCTAAAAAAACTAACTGTGATAATGAGCAAAAATGTGATTTTTCTCATACATTACTTTGCAATTTCATGAAAGTTTGCAAATTTTGCAAACGTGTGATTTTTGGGGAAAAAAAACTTAAATTGTGTGTTGCATACATGTCCATTTGGTGGATTTTGTTTTGTAATTGCATATATGTGGTATTTATTGTTATTTGCATGAAGCTAAACTATTATCCACAGGATATTAGTTTGGAGATAAACTGACCCAGTGCTGCACAAGAACAGCAGCATGGACCCTATATCACTTAATTCTTTTCGGCACAACACCTCACAAATATGGCTGTACTTCTGCCAGGGCCAGATCTATTTCGTAAACAACACACCTGTGTTCATAAAATAGATCCTTAATAAGCTCTCTCAGAGCCAAATTCATTCCACACAAAACCAACCTAAATGTATCTGCACCATGTAGTTTAGAAACTTTAGCTGGCTTTGCAAATGCTAGTTCTAGTACAGATGCAGTACTGTCTAGATTATCCTATTTTTCAAGGTATTCCAGTTTCCTGTCTCTCTAGATTAACAGAGATGATGGTATTAAAAAGTCAAGTTAATTGCCTGATCTTCAGAGTCAGTCGAATAGAGAGAGTATCCAGACTCCGCATCAGAATGATAGCCTTTTCTTAAGCCAAACCTGGAGAAGATAAGAAAAAAAAAATGAAATTCACTGTTTGCTATTACTGAACTTTTGTTCAGTAACAGCAAACTAGAAAAATCAAGAATTGTGCTCTATCAAAAAATAAAATACCCTTCCCTTTTTGCAGACTCCATCTGTATCGCTGCATCAAAAGTACGTAGCAGTATTAACAGTTTACGTCAAAGAAGAATTCAGTCTTTACTCAACAACCTCACATCAGGCTAGTAACTATATAAATTTTATAAATAAACATACAGCAGTGATAGTCAACCCTGTATTTATATAAGTTAAACTCCTGTTCAGTTTGAGTCTTGTCTATTCAACGGGCTGCTTAGGACCCGCTGTACCACCTTTCTGCTAAGGACCTGTTCTAGTGCATGCAAAGAATTTTTTGCTAGTTGTGAGGTGTGACAGGTACGTGGCTCCCAAATGCTCACACGTACACTCAATCTTAGGTAGTATTCAAGATTAAGGTCTTACTCTTTTCTTCCATTTGTTAATCTAGCCGCTCCTGCAAGTCTTCCAGAAGACAGCACCTGCTGATTATAGAAATAACTTTCACTTTTATGAAGTATTTTCACAGGATAATTGAAGAATACCTAATCATCACTAATTTCAAGAACTACTTCTGAACCAGGTCAGTTCAAGCTAATTCACAGTTCTGAGAGCAGGGAGGGAGCCCACCACTACCATTAGGGCCTGAACCTCGCAGTTTTCATTTCACAGAGCAGGTCCTCTACCGCACAAAGCTTTATTAACTTCAGTGCCATTCTACAAATGCAGCAATCCACTTAATGGAAATGACACGGTCACGCACAAGAGCGGACATACCAACATACTTTCCAGACTGAAATCACGTCTGGAGTTCTCTATTTCCATTCCAAATGAAAATACACACCTCAACTTTGAAGATTTCATTTTTAAGCTACTGTCACAGCTCAAATACTTACAAATTACTGATATACCGAGGTGCAAGAATACCCGAAGGAAAAAGCACGATGTGATGCCTCTTACTGACATAAATAAGCCCACCGAGCACTGAGGAAGGGCTGCTGGATCAAACCCAGGGAAACAAAAGACGTATCGTGCCCAACAGGACTAACGCCCACGGCAGAAGTAAGGCCCCCGACGCGCGCACTCGGCGACGGCAACACAAAACCCCAGTCACAAAATCAGTCGCCTAAAAAACTATCCGAAGAGAGAGCTGAGGCCCGGCTACATAACAAAAGGGGCTGTAAATGACTCTCCCCCCACCCCCTCCGGCGGCGGGAGCCCTACCCGGTGCCCCTCTCCCCGCGCCCCTCGCACCTTGCAGGGCCGCGGAGCCCCCGACCTCGCCATGGCCCCG